CTTTCATAACATTCCCACGAGGAAGAATCCCCAAGGCACTCACACTAGTAGCCAGGTGTTATTTAATTAGTTTAAGTGGTAATACGGCCTATTAGCTAACAGGATTAAGGGTGGGCAAGTTTTAGAGATTAACAGTCAAAGTTCTGCTGTGAACCTGGATCAATCACCAAGTCGTCCATATCCACGGACACAACAATTCAAATAGAGTTAACCCTGCAGGGATGCGCCAATGGACCCACACATTTGATCGTCCTTAAAAGGCCAGCTAAGCACATTATGTCATGTACCAGCGGGGTTTTGATCAACTACGACACTCCCCTACGCTACATCCAAGTCCAGGGAGGCACCCGGTTGAGTTTAACCAGAATCGATAGTCCGGCCGTAGCTCCGAGTTAGACTCATCTAAATGTGGTACACGACAGAGATCGGCTAGCGCCCGAACCCGGGAATAACCGCCTTCCACTCCACAAAGTTTGCGAGCCACCAGGGAATCCCCCTAATGGTTCAAAGTACGAAAGGCAAATGAAAAAACAGCTTGCGACCCCTGGACTAGGTCTGTAGTTTCAGGTACTCGGTCGAGGGAGGCCTCATAAACCACCACGTATGGTTAGTGCGCTCGTTTTGGATCAAGACAACAAGAACTTGGGTCCTAGGTCAGCTAGAGTGGAACAAAACACCGATGCATAAACCATGCATGGCCTCCCACCGTTACCTTCCTACTTATTACCACATTTCATATAATTGCATAAATAACTTAATGGCATAAAGGAGTGTAACAGAGCTAGGTTAATAACTACCCATAAGCAAGATAAAGCAGCAAGACAATCTGCTAAAGCATAAATCCTAAGCATGCATACTAACATGGCAAGGTTGAAATGAAGCAGGTCATCCTAGGACAAGTATAACCAAGGCAATATGCTAGAGGATCAAAATCAGGCCATACAAGGAATAGGTATCCACCGTAACCCTAGCGCAATAAGGAGGGAGAGAGCATTGGTAAGGCGTGATCAAGGAGGGGGTTGTAAGTCTTGCTTGGAATCCATGCTTGGTACATTCGCAAACCTTGCTAGTAGCTCACATCATATCCGGATCCTATCCGTGAAGAAGCGAAACAATACTGGAAAGGGAACAACACATTCAAGTCTTGCTGTTACGTCAAAGGTTCCAACATGTTCATGATATGTGATGCATGACATGGCAAGGATGATATGCAAATGCCACATGAATCAAGTTAATGGGTTAACATGTAATATGACATGTTCATTAACCACGGCAATTAAGGATGAAGGTTGTCAAGGGTTCTTAACATGGATGAACACGATAAGGATGGGAGATGCATAAACTAGGACTATCTGCACACATTTTAAATGAAATGTGGAAATATATGTAAAGCATTCCCCAAATACTCTATAACAAAAGAAAGGTTAATTGTGGAATAAGCCTAATCCCAATTTTACTTGATGCAAACATGCATGAATATGACATATTAATGGTCTATCTATCATGCTAATCAAAATAGCATGTTTAATCATAAATATGTGATAGGAACCGGGTCCCTACCAGGACGAGTTCTCAGATTATAGGGGTGGAAGGAGAGTTGGCGCGGCGGACGGCGCGACCGACGGCGCTAGGTCGCCGTGATCGCGCGCGCGAGAGAGAGGGGGCGCAGGGTGCGACTAGGGTTAGGTCTGCCGGCTCCTTAAGGAAGCCGAGCACATATGATTGCTTCTGCTTCCTCAAAACGAGTCTTTACATGAGTTTATATAATCCTTGAAATACGATAATTGGGCTAAGCCCCTAAAACGATAAGATAACTTGGGCCAGGCCCCTAACTGCCTGCACCAGTGGGCCTCTTCCGGCTATACTGCAGGCCGGTCATAACATCTCTCCCCGCCGGCGGGACAGCGCGTCTGCCACGGTGTTGAGGCGACCCGGGCGGTACTCGACGGGGAAGTCGAAGCCGAACAGCTTGCTGATCCACTGATGCTGCGGCACGGTGGAAAGGCGCTGGTCCAACAAGAACTTGAGGCTGTAGTGATCCGTGCGAACACGGAACGGTCGCCCCTACAGATATGGCCGCCAGTGGCGCACAACCTGTACCAAGCTGACGAGCTCTCTCTCATAGGCCGCGAGCTTGTGATGACGCGTGGCGAAAGGCTTACTGAAGAAGGCGAGCAGCCCGTTGCCCTGATGAAGGACGGCGCCAAACCCCACGCCTGAGGCGTCACAGTCCACCATGAACAACTTGTCGAAGTTAAGCATCTGGAGGACCGGCCCCGTAGTGAGAGCCTGCTTGAGGGTCTGAAACGCCTCGGTCGCCTCAGTATCCCAGGAGAAGGCGTCGCGGCGCAACAGGCGAGTGAGCGTAGCCGCGATGAGGCCGAACTCTCGGATGAACTTCTGGTAGTAGCCTGCAAGGCCCAGGAAATCGCGGAGGGCCCGCGACGAGTGCGGCGTCGGCCAAGCCGCGACAGCCGCCACCTTGTCGTCATCCATCGCGACACCGTCCGCCGAGATGACGTGGCCGAGGTAGGCAACCGATGTCGTGCCGAACGAGCACTTCGAGCGCTTGAGGTGCAGATGGTGCGCTTGAAGCTCGTTGAAGACGATGGCCATGTGTTGTAGGTGCTCCGCCCAC